ATATTGTATATAATTTTGGCGCATCAGGGAGCCGCTCTCAGGATGCGGTGTATTTAAATATTTTTGAATGAGGGTTTGCGCGGCTTACTTTCACTTTTGATTTTGCGATCACACGCACTCTGTGTAAAGGGAGCACATCTTACAAGATCAGATTTTTGTCAATGAGCTCAGGATCTGTTGAGCAGCAAATACTCCAGCATGGTCTTGTCAGTCATCTCTCCTTATTCTCGACCTGTGATCAGTCAGATCTGACTCCTGCAGCTCTTGTTGGATGCAGCGTTGCCAAGTCCGCGTTTGTTCCACAGAACAAACTGTGGACTTGGCAACAGTTTAAAACTACTTTTAAACTGTTGCCATGGGTTGATTTTCCCAAGTGGGTTAAAGGTTTGAAATCCAGTCTCTCTCCCTCTTTCTCCGTTTATGGGTGTTTGCGCGCGCATGCGGGGGATGGGTGCAATTTTTGAATAATAATCTAATACCCACGATTTTCAAATATTATTTTTGCTTGGAATGCCCATCCCTACTGGAAACATGATTACTCGCCAGACTAATATATATATATATATATATATATATATATGTGTTTGTTTGTAAAATGGCACAGTTTTATCAGTTTTATGTACACTCTTAACATCAGTCAGTCAAGCATTATAATATGATAATCAATATTATTCATCAAAATGCAAATCTGCTCTTAATCTGAATAACGTTATAGCTTTAATAAGCATTAATCTATCAATCTATCTATCTATTTAAAAGCGAAGCGAGGAAAAGAGGAAAAATTCAAACGAACTAAAAACGAACAAATAGCTTTACACCGAATTGTCGCTGTTTGAAAGTGAAAGTAAAATGGGCACACCGCTTTTACAAGCTATTTAAAAGCATAACATTATAACAGGCTCCTTCCGAGAAGAGACCTGCACGATCGCGGGACCCAATGCAGCAGAGAGCGGCGCGGACAGCACTTGATGGGCGAGTAGAGAAACGAGAAAACGGTTAAGCAATATCTTGTGAGGGCCGTGTGTTACCGCGTCCCAAACGACTCAAAATAAAACCACAAATTAACAAAACGATGCACTCCACTGTGTAGAGCGAGAGCCCTTCTCTGTTGTCTTCACGTGTTATCGGAAACTTCCTGGTTCCCACATTGCATTCTTTGTTAAAAATAACAGTGAACAGTGGTTTGTTGATGTTGATGCTTAGCTTAAATAATTTTATCAGGAGCGTTCATGTGAGTGCTGCAGCAGTCTCAGGCCCACCCCTAATGCTCTCATTGGTTGAGACGCGTGATGACACCCATCCCAAGCCAGTACAGTACAGACACACAGTGACTACATTTCAATCTAACATTTCAATCACACAGAACAGAACAGAACAGCTACAATGATAAACTGAACAAGAGTTAACAGTGCAAAGAGAGTCCAAACATGGCCCTAGATGACAGCAGTACTCGCAGTGAAGTATGATGTAAAGGAAGTGAAGGAGGCTGGCTCCTGCCTCACTGAAGCAGCACAGAGAATATTGGGGCTGGCCTTGACTTTAACACACCAATATTTACGTGCTGCTAAAGCGAGGAAGGTAGAGTGGACAGATGTTGACCTCTGACCTTTTTGGACAGTCCATGTTTACAAACCGTGTGCAATTGTCAGGTTTAACTTATGAGAGTCCCTTGAAACCCTAGAGCAGCAAATGATGGTTTGCACCTTCCCTCATGTTGAAAACCATGACGCGCTGCTATAGCAGTCTAAGGTGGATTTAGCCCGGTTTAGCCCATTCACGACTCTCCAGAAAACATGAGAGGCCAACAGCAGAGATGAAAGCATGCAGCGCTTCAAGAGAGGTGACGGTGACATGATTACCTGCAGGATGAGGAAGCGGTTGTGGTCCAGGTCGATGCCGTGGCTGCGCAGCAGTGCGCCCACATCTTTGAAGGTTGCTTTCTTGCCATTGATGTGATAGGAGGAGGAATTATCTTTGGCAGCAGTTCTCGACACATAGAAAGAGCTGTTGGGAATGACATCGTAGTCGTCTCCTTCCTGAACACACAGACGACAACAGGGACAGGTAGACTTCAGGGGTTTGAACAACCAATGTGACAAACAGATTTTGTCAAGTACAAATATGCAGTGCAGTCCCTCAATTCAAGTATGCTACTAAAAACAAATTCAGGGCCTGAATTTCAGCACAGCATTTTGGGTATTGTGCATAATTTTACTCCTTCCTGCAAGTATTTATTCACTATATACGTGTAGGCTGAACGACTAGATTAGTCCACAAAGATGAACAAACTCAATGCAAGTCTGAAATCAAACTTTCTTGCATTGTGTAGGCTACTGTGAGACAAAAATGTCCTCAAAGCACCAAGCTGTGCAGTCTAAAGGATCTCTCTTGATCGTTTTGGGCGATATGTTCAATTGACAGTGCAGATATAATTTGTACTGCCAGTTAAAAGTAAAATAATCATATTTATGGCCTCTAAATTTCTGACTTTAAAATGAAACTGAATTTACTGTGGAGAGAGAAATCTGTGCATGTGTGCTCTTCATCACTAGGCCTGGCTCACCTTGTCGATGATCTTCTGGAAGTGCACCTCCACAGTGCAGCTCTGGATGTCCGGATGAGTGTCAGAACTGTGGATCAGAACCGACAGCTTCTTCGAGCGAATCTTCTGAGCTCTGTATCCAAACACGAACAGCATGGAGTCGATCACGTTGGACTTGCCACTGCCGTTTGGACCAATGATGCAGGAAAAGCGCTGATGAGAGAAAGGTTTAAACAGAATGTCTTGAAAACGGTGTTAACTCATTTCAGGGAACAATTTCACACACCACTGTCAGAGTATCAGTGAAGCTAAGAGAGGTGATGCAGTAAAACACTCATCACAGACTGGGGAAACAACATCTCTCAACAAGTATTTTAACATAACTCTTAACGTCTGAATGACACTGCAATAAAGCAAGTGACATTGATTGTAAAGGTAGATAATATCACAATTTTCAAACAAAGAACATGCTGCATGGTTTGAAATGCAACATATGAAGTAAACTTCAACGGATTTCCCCTGCTCAGGGAGTAGGGAGCAATGGACACTGTGTAGGGACCATGTCAGTCGGAACACAGTTCATGCACAGAGCTCACTTCTAACGAGATGATCTGAATCAGGTGTGTTAACAAAGAGAGACGTGCAAAACATGCAGAGCGGGGGTACGTGAGGACTGGAATTGAGAACCGCTGGTCGAAGAAAGAACTAATTGGCTCTAAATTGATAAATTGAAAACCATTATTCCATATTCAAAAAATCAACAGTCCTCAAGAGGGTGCAATTAACAAATAGAAATCAAACAGCACCGTTTTATTGTCTACTGCAAACACCAAACCTGGCTATTAACTGAAGTGAGTTTTGTTCAGTGTGAACAGACACCAGCAGGAGGAGGATGAATTAAAGTGTCAATGTACCATTCAATTCTACTGCATGTTCAATGACACTGTGATGTTTAACTTTGAAACTCATTATAAATGCATTATTTGTGCAACTGATGTTTGAGACAGGGTTATTGCTGATGACTAAAGCCAGAAAAAAACACTTCCATTACTTAAACATTAACAAATAATTTACAATTATTTCAGCTGGTTGCTAAAGCAACATTTCTAATTTGTTTACTAAAATAAACTAAATAAAATATGAACAAAAACTATAATAGTATGTAAAAGATACTAACAGTATAGTAATAGCATACTACTGATACTAATAACACTGCACTGAGTTTCATTTTAAGTACTTCCATTGTGTTATATGATTTTATGTGAAGAACTGCAAAAAGTGTGAACTTGAGAGGTGACTCCACTAAAAACAAAACACAGCTGATTCAAAGACATGGAGCACAAGTAGGGATATGCCGGTATCAAATTTTCATGTTGCGATTACTTGCTAATGCTTTTATCGCGGTATACGGTTTTATCACGGTATTGAAATTTAGTTTAAAAAAAAAAGTGTTGTCATAATACAGTATAACAGGTTTAATAACTTTTTTCTTATAACAAAAATAACTGAACATTTAAATGCAATAAAGCAATACGTCTCTCACATGTTCCGCCATGTGCTTCTCGTGCTTCCGCCAGAGTGCGCACGCGTCTTTCACGCAGCATACAGCGGTGTTGTGCATTTTGACCAGTTGATGGGAAAAGTATTCTTAAAATGCATTCAAAATTCTGAATAATTTGTAATATATAATTATTCACGGTATTTAGAAGTGCCCACGATAACAATATCGTGCATATTCACTACCGTGATATATCGCATTACCGAATACCGGCACAAGTCTAAGCACAAGTGAATCAGAAAACTGAACTCTGAAGCAGAAGGGCTGCAGATACCTTATGGAAGGGGCCCAGAATCTGCTCTCCGGCGTAGGACTTGAAGTTTCTGTTGACGATGTGTGTGATCATGAGGCGCGGGGCCCCGGGCTCGGAGCTCATGGCGGGAGGCGGCGGAGGAGGGATGCTGGTGAGGATCTCCTCCAGACTGCGGTTATCCAGCTCCTCAGCAGACTCGCCTGGAGCCGCATCTACAGAGACAACCAGTCAATCAAAGCACTCTCACACACTTCATCCGATCAAACACGCTGAAGAAGCTTGTGTGCATCTGACTAAACCATGCAAACATGACTGCTCGGAGCGAGCACTGCTGCATTCACTGTGCCTGCTGATCACATTACACGCGTGTCTGAACGCCACGATTTCTGTCATTTACTGAATATTGCTTCTGATTTACAAACCTGCATCTGGACAAGTTTTCTTACATAGCTGTGTTTCTGTTAAAACTATGAGAATGACTTGTGAACATCACTTAGGGGTTTTAAATTATAAACCATTCACCATGACTTTCTTTACAGCAGAGGAGTATGCACAGCAGTCACAACCACATTACAGCTGTAAAATATCCAGATGGCATTGCAATATCTGAGTTTTCTCAGAATTCTTCATTTTCTGTTTCCGCTAGA